GTGGGTGTCCGCGGGCCGCGAAATGCGTGAGTGGCGTGCCGAGTCGACGCTCCCTGGAACCGTCTGAAGGGGTTTGCCGAGGGCCACTGGCAGTCCACGGGCCACGGAGTGAGTGCACGAGGGGAGTACCGGATAGGGGCTCCCTTCAGCCGTCGTGTGGGCCAGGTGGAACAAAATGCGTAAGGAGTGTGCCGAATTGAGGCCCCAGGGAGCCGCATGCAGGGGCAGCTGAGCACCCACGATGCGCAGAGTGCATAAGGGAGGTGCCGAATTGAGGTTCCTCAGATAATGGAGCTGCGAATCCCTGGTGCTTCACGTGTCTCCGGGGCCTGGGTGCGCACGGAAGGGGCAAGGGGCGTGCCGAATTGAGACTTTCGTAGCCCTTGGAGCGCGTTTCCTTGGTATGTTTACGCGCTCCAGGGGAAGCGGGGCAAACCGGCTTCGTTGAAACATCGCCAGCCAACGGGATGTGCGAGGCCGCTCTGAGCATGCCTTGTACGCATGCATCTCAGTATCCTCCGTTTCATCATCATCATCATCATCATCATCATCATCATCTCAATCATCAACCTTCCGACCCTGACACGGCTGAGGCCCGCAGTTCAATCGTTTCGCTCACTTCGCTGGCCCATACTGCAGCACTTCTGGTGTTTATCTGTCGGTGTGCTCGTGGCGAGCGAGATGGAGGAGGAGGATGAGGAGGAGGAGGAGAAGGGAGAAGAGATGAAGAGGAGGAGGAGGAGGAGGAGGGGAGGAGGAGGCCTCTCGATGGCTTCAAGGGGCACTCTTGGGGCCAAACTGGGGAGTGGACAGGAAGCCTCTTCGGGAGGTTTCTTGGGGTGGTCTTGCCTTTGGGCGACATGTTGGGACCTCCTGAGCCTCTTGGGGCCTCTTGGGGGAATAGTGTGAGCCTCTTGGAGGCCTGCTGGCGGTCTCGGGGGCCTTCTTTCAGGGCGGGGCTCGACATGTCAGCTCGGATTGCCCCTAGCCTTCTTGGGGGACCTCTTGCGCTGTCTTGGTGCTCTCTTGGGTCGTCTTGGGGCCGTCCTGGGAGCCTCTTGGGCTGTCTTGGGCCGATCTTGGGGCCTCTCGGAGGCCATATACGCAATGTAGGGCCCTTCTGGGCCGTCTTGGAGACATTGGCTTACTGTTTGGCCCTTCTGAGCCGAATCATCGTTGGGAAACATACGGGTCCATGATTTGTCCCTCTTGGTGCCTTCTTGGGTGTCCTCTTGGAGCGCTCTTGGGGGCCTCTTGGGCTGCTTGCGGCGATATTGGGCTGTCTTGCTCCTGGGCCGTTTTGGGACTCTCTGAAGCCTTCCCGAGGTCATCTTCGGCCGTCTGGGAGCGCAAGTGGACCGTCTTGGCGCACTCTTGGGTCGGTTCATGCAACGCCCCGCGTCTCCTGGAGCGTTCTTGGGAGCCCCCAGAGAAAAGCATCTCTGATCCAGGACCTCCGGGAGCACTTCTTCTTTTGAAAGGCAGCGGGCGCAAGAGTGCGCAAGCGGTCGGGCGCCGATCGGGCTAAAGGCGGGGCGCTCCGAAAGCCAATTGGGGCACGACGGAAACGAGTTGGCCCTGGCCAGAACGAGTTGGCGCATATAGTTGCCAGGTGGAGCCCAGGCGACGTGGCTGATTCGAAATTGCCCGCAAGGCCGAGGCGTTCCAGAGGCAGGCCATGCACAACTTGGGACCGCTTTTAGTCAATATGTTTTCCTGCCGAGTTCAGTGTTGGACTGGGCTTAGTGCTCTTTCGGGGATTGTGTGTGTTGGGGGAAAGGGGAATGGCGGGGCAGAGGCAGAGGACAGGAGCCGCTCAAGCCGTGCAGCCCTGGGCCGTGCCTGTGGGGAGGACGTGCGGGCTGCCCAGCAAGCAGGGGTGGCCAGAGCCAGGGCACTTCTCACACGGGGACTCCTCCTCCTCCTCCTCCTCCTCCTCCTCCTCCTCCTCCTCCTCCTCCTACTCCTGCTCCTACTCCTACTCCTACTCCTGCTCCTCCTCCTGCTCCTCCTCCTCCTCCTCCTCCTCCTCCTCTCTCCTCCTCCTTCCTCCTGCTCCTCCTCCTCCTCCTCCTCCCCTCCTCTCCTGCTCCTCCTCCTCCTCCCTCCTCCTCCTCCTCCTCCTCCCTCCTCCTCCTCCTCCTCCTCCTCCTCCTCTCCTCCTCCTCCTCCTCCCTCTCCTCCTCCTCCTCCTCCTCCTCCTCCTCCTCCTCCTCCTCCTCCTCCTCCTCCTCCTCCTCCTCCTGCTTCTCCTCCTGCTCCTCCTCCTCCTCCTCCTCCCCCGCGCGCGCAAGGCAGGAATATTCTGGAACACTGACCGGAGATTTTAGAACGCCTCTGGCCCGTTGGGAGTCCCCTCGGGTTTCCGGACCTCGGATGTTTCGCTCGGTCGTTGTCCTTGCGCCGTGGGTATTATGTGGCCCTCGCCGCGTTCGTCCTTCGGGCCGCCCGTTCGGTCCCCACTCGTCTCTGCGCCGAGCGGTCGGGAGTTAGCGCTGGACTTTATAACCCATGTCCAAAACAAAACCACAAATGGCCCGGTGGGCTGGATTGCCGCGCCCCAGCTGCTGAGAGCGCCCCCACCCCGAAACTCACAGGCGCGTGCCTGCCGCGATTCCCCCAGGCCGCTGCTTCCGGCTGTGCCCGCCCGCCCGCTGGTCGGGCAGACCGAGTCACCATGAAAGCGGCCTTGAGGGAGAGGTGCTCTTGAGGTTCCCTCCCCCGTTTCGGGCTCCTCGAGCCTTCCTCGGGCCCCGAGACTGTCAAGAACCACCTGAGGATGAGACGCCAGTTCCGCGGAAAGACCTGGGGTCAAGGACCCGTTTCCATTCGAACCCCCGTTACCTCGCGCCGACTGCGGGGCGCCCCGCTCAGGTCTTGCTTGTCCTGGCCGCGATCTTCGGGGCTGGGCTCTTCGTGCTCTGGCGGCACATGCGGACCCCCAAGAGCATGGGCGAGCTCGCGCTGCGGGAGCGCACGCGGAAGGCTGAGAGGAGGGTGGCAAAGGCGGAGGTGCGATTGGACCGCAAGAGGCGCTGACAGCGCGATCGCGCCCCTCGGACAAAGCCGTGCCATCATCCTCGTTATTGCAAGGCGTGTTCCTGTAACGTCCGATACGGGAGGGCCGCTCTCCCCCCCGCAACGGTGACAAACGTACGGGGCGCCGTGCTCACGAGCATGGTGTGGTGTTGATAGGAGCCTCCAGACGCATCCAGAGATGGCTGTCGTCGTCGTCGTGGTCGTCGTTGTCGTTGTCGTGTTCGTCGTCGTCGTCGTCATCGTCGCCGCCCTCATCGTCATCATCGTCGTCGTCATAGTCGTCGTTGTCGTCGCTGTCGTTGTCGACGTCGTCGTTGTCGTGGTGGTGGTGGTCGTCGTCGTCGTCCTCGTCATCGTCCCCGTCCTCGTCCTCGTCGTCGTCGTTGTCGTCGTCGTCGTCATCGTGTCCGAGGGCCTCGGAGGGCCTTAGACGCTTCCTGAGGTCTCCAGACCGCTGTAGACCTTCAGAGGCTGCCGTTGTCGTCGTCGTCGTCGTCATCGTCGTCGTCGGCGTCGGCGTCGGCGTCGGCGTCGGTGTCGTTGTCGTCGTCGTCCCTGTCGTCGTTCTTGTCGTCGTCGTCCTCGTCCTCGTCGTGTCCGAGGGCCTCGAAGGGCCTCCAAACGCCTCCACAGGCCTCTGGAAACCTCCTGAGGCCTCTGGAGACATTTGGAGACTTTCAGAGGTGGCCGTCGTCGTCTTCGCCGTCGTCGTCGGCGTCGTCGTGGTCGTCGTCGCCGTCGTCGTCTTCGTCGTCGTCGTGTGTAGTCCTCGTCGTCGCCGTGTCTGCTTTCGCTCTCGTCCTCCTCGTCGTTGTCGCCGTCGTTATCGTCGTCCCCGTCTTCGTCCTCGTCGTCGTCGCTCTCGTCGTCGTCGTCGTCGTGGTCGTCGTGTTCGTCGTCTTTGTCCCCGCTCTCGTCCGCGTCGTCGTCGTTGTTATCGTCGTCGTGTCGTTGCCGTCGTCCCCGTCCTCGTCCCCGTCCTCGTTCTCGTCGTCGCCGTTATCGCCGTCGTCGTCGTTGTCGCCGTCGTCGTCGTGGTCGTCTTCGTCGGCGTCGTTGTCGTGTTCGTCGTCGTAGTCGTCGTCGTCATCATCGTCATCGCCCTCGTCCCCGTCCTCGTTCTCGTCCTCGTCCTCGTCCGCCTCGTCTTCGTCGTCGTCGTCCTCCTCCTCATCGTAGTCGTCGTTGCCGAGAGCATCGAAGGGCCTCCAGACGCCTCCAGAGTTCTCCAGAGACCTGCTTAGAGACTCTGGTGACCCCTGAAGCCCTTTGGAGACCTTCAGAGGAGGCCCTCGTCCTCGTCTTCGTCGTCGTCCTCGTCGTCATTGTCGTCGTCGTCGTCCCCGTCCTCGTCCTCGCCCTCGCCGTCATCGCCGCCGCCGTCGTCGTCGTCGTCGTCGACGTCGTCGTCGTCGTCTCGCGCCTGGGCCTCTCCCCCGCAGTGCCCGACCCCCCCTGTAACGCACGTTACTGAGGAGGAATGAAAAAACATGTTCGGGGCAGTCAGCGGCAGTTTCTGTGCCCCCGAGTTCCTCGGATGGCAGCCAGCGGCAGCTTCTGAGCCGAGGGCTTCGCAGCTCCAGCATCTGCGCCTGCCCCCCCCATGTGGGGCCCCGGGGCCCTGAACGGGCCCCCCGAGGCCTGGGATCAGAGACGCCAGGGGTGCTCTCCCTCTGGGCGCCAGGGGTGCTCCCCCTACAAAACTGTGGCGGTTACGACGTCGTCGTCGTCGCCACGGCTGTGGAGAGACGTCATCGTCGACGTCGTTGGCACTCGCCACCGTCAGGCGACGACGAATACCAACGACGACCACGGTGGCGGCGACGGCGGCGGCGGCGACGACGACGCAAACGACGACGATGACGACGACGACGACGACGACGACGACGACGACGACGACGACGACGACGACGACGACGACGACCAGCCGCCTGGGCACCGTGCCCTCCGCGCGGCGGCAGGTCGGCGGGCCACCTGGCGCGGGGCAGCCGATCAGCGCCCATTGGTACGTGCGAGCGGCTGGCGCCGCCCTTCCGCCGGCCCCCCCAGGGGCACCGTCATGGGGGTGACGGGCTCAGGGCTAGCACCTCATCCGCCTCCGCTCTCTCCTCCTCCCCCTCCTCCTCCGCTGCCTCCGCCTCCGCCTCCACCTCCACCTCCTCCTCCTCCTCCTCCTCCTCCTCCTCCTCCTCCTCCTGCTCCTCCTCCTCCTGCTCCTCCTCCTCCTCCTCCTCCTCCTCCTCCTCCTCCTCCTCCTCCTCCTCCTCCCTTGTCCTTATGGATAACTCGTCCCTGTTGCACCCCAGAACGGGCCGAAAGGGCGGGCCAGGCGTTTCGCCTGAGACTTCCTTACCATTTACGATCTTGAAACTTAAGAATTGCAACAGCTTCACGGATGGAGGGCGGTCCATTTTGAAAAGGTGGCTCTCACCGTAGCGCTACGCACATTTGCAAGGGCTTCACGGATGGAGGGCAGCCCGTTTTCAAAATGTAGTTGTCGCTTGAGCGCCGTCCACATTCGCTCGAAAATATTGCAAGAGGTTCACGAATAGAGGGTGGTTCCTTTTCAAAATGTGGCTCTCGCTCTCGTGGCGCGGTTGTTCGTCTCAAGCAGCGTCACGGATTCGCATTGCTAACGCCCCAGAAATTGCGTTTTGGCACGATGTCGGAATGTTAGGGCGCAGTAGTCACGTTGATTCGCGGTGATGTTGTCCCAGGAATGGCATTACTGCGCGATTCAGGATCGTCAAGACGCAGCAGTAACGGTGATTCGCGACGTTAACGTCCCAGGAATGACGTTCTGGCACAGTTCCGGATTTTCAAGCTGTTGTCTTCCAATGGGGCACTTCCTTCAATGAAAATGAACCTTTTGTAGGGGCCTGTGAAAATGGAGCTTGGAGGGAGGGAGAATCCCAACATCGTTGATGAGGCTTGGGTTTACACTGGTCCTCCCCCTTCTCCTCCTCCCCCTCCTCCTCCCCCTCCTGCTCCTCCTCCTCCTCCTCCTCCTCCTCCTTCTCATCCTTCTCCTCCTTCTCCTCCTCTCCCTCCCCCCTCCTTCACCCAGGCGTCGCTGGATACGAGAGAGCACGCTCTAAGCCCCTGAACCGCCTTATCGCCTCCTCCTCCCTGGCGCACCCCTGCGCCCCCTCGTGCATCGCGCGCCCCGCGGCGCAGGCCGCCCCAGAGATGCATGTGGCCCCCCCCCCTCCCCCCCGCGCATCGCGCCTCGCCCCGCCCTGGCGAGGCGGGGCTCTGGGAGCGTGTCGGCGGCTCGTGGTAGCTACCTCGTCTGGATTCTTTGGGACCTTCGCGGGTTTTGCCCTGGGTAGTCCTGGCCTCGTTTGGCTCCTTCGGTCCAGTTGGGGGTTGGAGGGCTGGGCTGTCTCCGGCGGCACGCCCTGTCAGTGTCAGCTCGGGCCGAACGAAAGGGAGGGATAGGGAAAGGGTGGTGTACGAAATATGCTGCATGCGGCTCATTTCGGCCCCGCCGCCGGGCCCATTCCTCGATACATGGGCGCCTCGCCAGGAGGCGCCAGGGATACCAGCTAACTACATGAGCTGATGCTCTACCCTACCCTTTGCTATCCTACCCTTTCGCCTCCCCCGATCGACAATTCGGGGACAGGCTCGGGGGGGAGCACATCGATCTCCGATCACCCATTCATCACCGATGGGGGCCCTGCCAGCCTACCCCGCCCAGGAGCGTGCGGTTTCGTGACCGAGGGCCTGTCGCCGGTCGGTTGGCGACGTATCGCCGATCCCAGCTCGATGCTTCCCCCCCTGAGCCAGTCCCCCCTGCCGCTCCCCTCCCACTCCCCCCCTCCCTCCCGTGACATCCTCCGCTGTAAAGTTTTGAATCCGCGGCCCCAGAGGTCCGGACCCCTCCCCCCGGATCCGTCTTCGATGGTCCTGGGGCCCAGTAGCGGCCCCCGGAGGCCGAAATCAAGGAAAGTCGCCCGGATTGAAAAAATCCTGGCCCGGTTTGCGTGTCTTGCAGTCGCTGTGGCGAAACATGCCCCTCCCCCTCTGGTTCATAGATGCGCTAAAGAGTCAGCACAAACCAGTCACGACGCTTCTGGTTTGCAAGATTTTCCCTCAAAGTTGCTTCCCAGTTTGGTGTTGACCGGTTTGTGCGCTCTCATGGACGGCATTTCCGCGATCCCATGCGATCTCATGTGCGCGATGACCAGTCGGCACAGACCAGTCACTGAGCTTTGGTCTTTCAGTGCTCCTCGTTGAACTTGCTTCTCGGCCTGTGATGATCAGTATGCGCGCGCTCGACTGGTGCGGACCTGGAAGGGCGGGGAAACGACTTCTGCGGAGGAGGAGGAGGAGGAGGAGGAGGAGGAGGAGGAGAAGTAGGAGGAGGAGAGTTGCGGAGGAGGAGGAGGAGGAGGAGGAGGAAGAGGAAGGAAGGAGGAGGAGAAGGAGGAGGAGGAGGAGGAAACAGGCAGGAAACAGGAGGAGGAAGAGGATGGTGGAGAGGAGGAGGAGGAGGAGAGGAAGGAGGAGGTGGTGGAGGAGGAGGAGGAGGAGAGGAGGAGGAATAGGAGGAGGGGGAGGAGAGGGAGGAGGAGGAGGAGAAGGAGGAGGAGGTGGAGGAGAAGGAGGAGTTGGAGGAAGAGGAGAAGAAGGAGGAGGAGGAAGAAAATGAGGAGGAGGAGGAGGAGATGGAGGAGGAGGAGGAGGAGGGGGCCCGCCCCAGCTAACCAGCATGCAGGCCAACCGCGGACTCGAACTCCCAGAATAGAAAAAGGAATAGGAAAGAGAGGGTGGAACTCGGACCGTGTGGGTGCCAGGAGAAGAGAAGAGGAATAGGAAAATAATAGTAAGAAGAAGAAGGAGATGGAGACGAAAAAGACATCAAAAGACTAATACTAATAATGCTATTATTAGTACTATACAAAAAAGAATAGTAATAATAATACTAGCAGTAAGCATAATGATACTACTACTACTACTACTACTACTACGACTACTACTACTACTACTACTACTACTACTACTACTACTACTACTACTACGACTACTTTTATTTTTACTACTACTACTACTACTACTACTACTACTCCTACTACTACTACTACTACTACTACTACTACTACTACTACTACTACTACTACTACTACTACTACTTACTACTACTACTACTACTACTTCTACTACTACTACTACTACTATACTACTACTATACTACTACTAATACTACTACTACGACTACATACTACTACTCTCTAATTCACTAATATACTACTACTATTACTTACTACTACTACTAGTACTAGTACTAGTACTATACTACTACTACTACTACTACTACTACTACTTACTACGTACTACTACTACTACTACTACTACTACTACTACTACTACTACTACTACTACTACTACTACTACTACTACTACTACTACTACTACTACTACTACTACTACTACTACTACTACTACTACTACTACTACTACTACTTACTACTACTTACTACTACTTACTACTACTTACTACTACTTACTACTACTTACTACTACTACTTACTACTACTACTACTACTACTACTACTACTACTACTACTACTACTACTACTACTACTACGACTACTACTACTACTACTGCTACTACTACTACTACGGCGGCGACTACTACTATTACTACTGTTACTGCTAGTATTAATAAAAATGATATTCATAATAACAATAGTAATAGCAATAATAACAATGATACTAATAATAATCATAATACTAATGACACTAATAATAATAGATGAGGAGGCGGAGGAGAGGAGGAGGAGGAGGAGGAGGAGGAGGAGGAGGAGGAGAAGGAGGAGGAGTAGGAGGAGGAGGAGGAGGAGGAGGTCGTCCACACCGGAAGCTGTTGCCTCTGGTGGTCCGGTCGACAGCTCCGCGGCGACCGCCGATGGGGCACATGAGCGCGCGCACCTCGTTGGAGACGCACGCTCGCGGAAAAGGGGGATGGCAAGGGGGTCGAGAAGCCGGAGGGGGAGAGGAGCCAGCAGGAGGAGGAGAGGAACGAGAGTGGGGAGGAGGAGGAGGAGGAGGAGGAGAAACAGGAGGCGCAGGACGCGAAGAGCACGGCGAAGAGGCAACGGGGAGAGGGAACAGGGGGAGGAGGAAGAGAATGAGGAGGAGAGTTCCATACGATGCCCCTGCTCGGATCACAACGGACTCTGTTCGCTCGCCCCCACGCGTGCAGAGAACGCTGACAAGAAGCTGCCTGGCGAAAGGCCTCTGCGTCAGAAATCTCCGCCGACATATTCTTCCAAGCAGTCAGATCGCTAGCAAAAATGATCTCGTCAAACCCTTCAACTCGAACTGGTCCTGCCAGGCATCCCAAACTATGCCTACTGGGTGGCCCAGGTCTGCAGGCGGGTGAGCTCCCACGGCGTGCGGGTGCCTGCGTGACGGGTTGCCACCGCCGCCCGCGCCGTGTGCTTGCTGGCCCTGCGGCGGGGAGGCGAGTCTTAGTCGGGTCTGTCCCTCTACAGGAGGAAAATTCGAAAATATTTACCGAAATCGTACGGGGACGATTATTTGACTATCTTTGACCATTTTGGTGCATTTTCTTGTTATTTCTTCTCGTCCAAAGTCCCCCTGTAGGGGGGACGTGCCCGACCTGAGGCGAGTCCTGGCCCCACGCAACCCGCGCCGCAAACCCGCGGTCGGGCTGCCAATGAAGGGCCTCCCCACGCAGGTGCCATCGCGTCTTTGGCCCCTTCTCCTGTTGCTTCGTTGGCCTCAGTCGCCTGCGCGTTGCCCTGGTCCCGTGGCCCTGGGGCCCCCCTCCGCCACCCGTTGCAGCTCCCGCTGCGCCAGGCTTTTCCGCGCACCGGCTGGTCGGTCTGCACTCCAACACCAGGCGGACGGTCTGCTGTGGGGATGGCCGCCCCCCTCGAAGCTTTTTTGCCCGCCGCCCTCCGCGCAAGATCGGACCTGCCTAGCGGCACACGGACGCGCGAACGCTCCCCGGAGGGCCGTTAGGTCCGGCATCTGGGCAGAATGACGAGACGCCTGAGCTGGGCATCCGAAAGCTCGAGCTGGCAGAGGCTTCTGGAGATCCCCGCCCTCCCTAAACCGTTCCTCCTCCTTCGTCGCTTCGCCTCTTTCTTGCTGCCCTTCTCTTCGCCCCCTTCGTTACCCACACGTATATACACGTTAGCGTCTTCCTGGGGTCGGATGGTTCTTCGGCGCCGGTGGTTCCTCAGCTTGGGCGTCTTCGGCCCAGCTAGAAGGGGGGGGGGCCTCTCCCCGCGCAGGAGGGCTCCTGAGGCCCCAGAGGCTCCCAGAAAGGCTCCCAGAAACGGGGTGGTGACCACACCGTGTGGTGAGTCGGTGGGGATTCGGGGTCACCGCACGGTTTTGGGACTCGGGTCGTTCTCCGAGGACGTCTCGGGCGACTGGAGCCCCCAGGGTCCCAAAACCGTGCGCTGGCGGACCGTGCGGTGAGGCCTTGGGGGATTTCGGGGCCACCGCACGGTCTGTTACCGCACCGTTTCGGGACTCCAGAAGGGCCGAGAGGGCCGAGAGCGCCCAGGCAGTCTTGGCCTCCGACCCCCTCGGCTCCCGAGAACAGGCCCGGGCCCCACGGGCTCGCTCGTTGCTTGGGCTCGGCACCCCTCGCACGCCGCCGCGCCCCACGGCCGCCCCGCCCAGCGTGCTTCTCTGCCGCCGCCGCCGCCGCCCTCGCCCTCGCCCTCGCCCTCGAGCGCCGTCGCCGTCGTCCACCCCCCCCGGGGGGCGCCCCGACACGCCCCGCTGGCCGCCGCGGGAGCGGGGGCCGTGCGCCTCTCGCCCCTGCAGACGCACGACGAGACCAGCTCCCGGCGCACGGCTCGGGAGACCCCGATGCGCCGGGCGTGCGGGACGGGGCCAGGAAGGGTTGAGCCGGGCTTTTCCCTCTACAGGAGGAATTGTCAAAAGTAGTCCAAAAATAGTCTGGGGACTTTTTTTTGTACTATTTTTGCACATTTCGGTGGCATTGCTTGAATATTTTTGATTGTTCGCCCAAAATCCCCCTGTAGAGGGACAGGCCCGATCTACAAAAAGGGAGGGGGAGTCCTGGGCTCGATCTGGGCGGGGGAGGGGGAGCGAGAGGGCGTGGAGGAGGAGAAGAGCCTGGGAAACTGTGGCGCGAGGGGGCAGGGAACGGGAGGTGTGCGGGAGGGAAAAATAGAGGGCGGGGGAAGGGGGGGCGGAGGGAGGAGTCTGGCCGGATCGAGATCTGAGTCCACCCCTCGGGGCTCCGGTCGAGCTCCCGATCTGGGGCCGATCCGCTGGTGTGCGGGGCAGAGGGGGGTGGGAGTCCTGGAAGAGAGGGCTGGGTCAGACGGGAAGGGGCAGGGGAAGGGCCCTCACCCCCTCGTCGTCGCGATCGCGACGGCGTGTTTTTCTCAATTTGGGCCTCTGGGGGACATGGCTGGGCCCCATGACCCTGAACAATCGGCTCAGGATGAAAAGCCGGTCTCGGGGAATGGGTCGAGACCTCGGGGGGTCCACGTTGGGAACAACTCACGACATCGTGAGTCTGGGGAGGACAGGATCGGGTAGGACGAAATCGGGGTACAGGGAAGGCAGGGGGTACGAACTCTGCTGCTGCGGTGCTCCTTTCTCGATACACCCCTGCGCCCCCCGGCGCTGGGAAAGCCAGCTACATGAGCAATTTCGCTGACACCCTTTATTATCCCCATCTAACCCCCCATTCGGTCGGCCCGAACGGGGTCCTCGAGGGTTCTCTTAGTTCTCAAGCTCCAGGGCCCCTTCCTGGGACTAAGGGCCGTCAAAAACGGTTATAAGATGGACAGCTAAAGTTCTGGGGTAGAGCCCCGGGGTCCAGGACTCGCTTCCGCCAGCATCCCTTCCTGTCGTGGGCATGGCAGGGACAGTCCCCAGACTTCCAAAGTTTTGAAATGTCAAGACAGACGCGTCTCGCCGTTCCGCCCCGCCTTGAAGTAGATCGGCTGCACGTAAGCGTGACCCTTCGCCGGAGTGACCTGTGGTGTGGGCCCACCGGGACCCCCCGATCGCTGAGTACGGTGCGGTAGCGTCGGTTTGCGCGCTCAGGCGTGGCCCCCCTCAAGCCACGCACCAGAGGCCACTCTTGCCTAGGGCCACTCTTGCGTGTGTCCGAGAAGATCAGAGATCGCGGTCCCCAGACCTCCCTTGGCGTCGCGGCGGATCCACGGCGGGCACTCTTGTTGCTCGATCTCGGCGTCTGGCAGGCCCCTCTGCGGGCCCTCGGGCTCTAAAACAATCACAAACAAATTCGCCGGCCCAACGGGCCAGAGGCGTGCTAAGATCTCCGGTAACTTGTTAACAATATTTCTAGTTCGCGCGCGCGGAGCGGCCCCTGGGGGCCCCCGGACGAAAAGTACCCCGGCAAGGTCCCGAGAGAAGCCCAGGAGAAGCCACCAGACCACTCCAGGGGAGGGTATTTTTCGACACCCCTCACGAGGATCGTGGCCTCCGAGGGGGGAGCCGCAATCGACTACCCCCAAGAGCCCCCCAAGAGGCCCTGGGGGCCTCCAAAACGCCGCCAAGGAGCCCCAAGAGACTCCCAAGAGGTCCCCAAGAGGCCCCCAAGAGGCCCTAAAGAGGGCTCCAGGGCCGGCGGCATGAGCGAAGCGATTAAATAATCAAACAAGCAAGCAACACGTTATCCTGGGTGTGTGCGAGCCTGAGTGCGATGAGTGAGTCTGCGTATGAGCGAGTCTGAAACAGGTGAGTCTGACTGAGAGGCGTTTTTTTTGTTTTGTGTGAAGGGTGTGTGTGTGTGTGTGAATGTGTGTGCGTGTCTGTGTGTCTGTGTGTCTGTGTGTCTGTCTGTGTGTCTGAAGGAGTCGTGCGGGCGGGGGCTCGGGGTTTCGGGCCGCACCGGAAGCCCAGGCCGGCGGAGTTATTCGAAGCCGAGGCACCACCTTGGCCAGAGCAGCCCCGTCGTTCCGTATTCGGCGCTCCTTTTTAGCAGCACGACGACTGGAAGGGGGCGTGGAGGAGGAAGCTATGGAGCGAGGGGAGCGGGAATCCAGGGCTGCGGGGGAGGGAGACTGGTGTGGGGGAAGGGGATGGGTGGTGGGGTGGGGGGGGGAGAGACAGGCTGGGGGGGAGAGGGAACCGGGGGCAGGGAAAAGGAAATAACGAGCGTGGCGAGGGAAACAGGGGCGGGGGAGGGAAGTATGTGGCCTGCGGGAGAAATTCGGTGTGAGGGAGTTGGGAATAACATTGGGGAGGGGTCCACCCACAGGGCTGGCCGGATCGGGATCCAGGCCCACCCATCGAGGCTCCGATCGGGCACCCAGTCTAGGCCGATGGTCGGTCGTGGCCGGGGCCCGTTTGAGGGTTTCTCCGAAGGCCTTTGGCGACCCGTCCTCCTCATCCTCCTTCTCCTCATCCTCCTCCTCCTCCCTTTCCTCTTCCCTGTCCTCCTCTAGCCCACACATGGGACATCGTCTGTGGATTGACGACATTCATCAGAAGGTTGTGGGTTCTCGGTCTGCTGTGCGACGGAGTCTCGTCAAGGCGATTGTCGACACGTGCAGGTCTTTGGAAGCCCACAAGTTGAGGGTCTCGCCGAAGTCAGTGGTGATCTGCAAGACTGCGGCCGACGCGGTGGCGGTGGTCCGTGCGGTGCGCATCCGAGGCTATCGCATTCAGGCGGCGCGACAGGCCGCTTACCTAGGGGTTGACTTCAGCTGTGGGCGCAGAGGCCGTGTGACCAGAACTCGGCAAGATACAGCGCTCTGCGAGGGCGTCCAAACGGTATCCTCGTACGCAGAGGCTCGAGCGGGCCGGCGGCCAACCTGCATGAACTTACGGATTTCGGGTGCGTGGTATGTTTGGACGCCAGCTCGCGGAGTGCAGGAGGAGGCGTGCGGTATCATGTGCAGCGGCTGCCGCAGGCAGGTGCCTCACCGCTCTGCTCGACCATAGGGCGCCCAGAGCCGATCCTGCGGTCCCCTGCCCTGTCGAGGTCATAGATGCGTGGCGCTCGACCTGGCAGGCGCACCCAGATCTTCGGCGTGGCGCTCGGCACGTCTGGCCAAGGATCAGGGATGCGCTGGTGTCGAGAACCCCGCGAGAGCAGGTCAGACCGGTGCATGGCCCCATCCCGGCGGTCATCTTGCAGCTGCTCCGACTGGATTGGACTCCGACAGCTCCTAGTGCCTGGTCTTACTTCGACGCAGAGCGCAATTCCACGGAGGAGTGGCAGTTCCCAAATGACATCTACACTGGCAACCGCTGGCTCGACTCGCATCAGGCTCTGTTGACGGATATCAAGGACAGGCCGTCTGCTAAGTTGTGGGCTCAGGTGGCTGGGCACTATTGTGGCGGTGGACTGGAGTCTGGTGCTGACAATGATTCGTACCGTGTGCTGTTACGTTATTTGGAGGCGGTGGATACCAGTCTGGCAGAGGTCATGGTCAATATCGCGACGGGGGCCCCCTGGCCTAAGCAGCGGCGCGAGGACCTCATCAGGAGGTTTACTGGTGATGCGAGATGCGACCGCTGTGGATGCCAGGAGGAGAGTGCCATGCATCGCAGCTGGCTGTGCCCCAAGAGCGAGGGGAAGCAGGCCTACCTCCAGTCTGATGGCCTGCTTCCCGAGGCGGTGGCGCAAGCGAACAGCTGTGAGGCGTTCTGGCTGCGAGGACTCATCCCCATGAGCTGGGTCACAGTGTCCGCTCCTCCCACCCAGGACTCATGGACGGTGGAGGGCACCAACGGGTTCGGCCCAGGCGTCCTTCATTGTGGTAGTGCAGATCAGCCAGTGTGGTTGTACGGCGACGCTTCGGGGGTCCTGACATGGATATCACGAAGTTTCGGCGTGTAGGGCTGGCTGTTGTTCGGATGGACGGACACCAGCGCATCTCAGCAGTGCGAGGGCCCCTGGCGGGACCTAGACAGACAGTCCACCGCGGCGAGCTCAAGGCATTTGTGACGGCGCTGCAGGGCAGTGATTGCGCCATCGTGTACGTGTCTGATTGTGAGAATGTGGTTGCTGGATGGTTCGACGGTGTGCACCTAAGGCCGCGGGGTGACGATGCTGACTTGTGGGAGCAGTTTCACCAGGCATCGCGAGATCGTCAGATGGCTGTCCTCTTCACGTTATCGCATCTGTCCGACGCGGAGGTGCAGGCGGGCCAGGGCATCCCTCTCCTGGTGCATGGGAATCGACAGGTAGACGAGCAGGCTGGCCTGGCAGCGACGGAGGCGAGGCTCGCAAAGAGCGAGAGGGCCCACGTGGTGCGCGTCGAGAGCAAGGCGCACGTCGTGCGCCTGAGGCTGCTGCGTGCGGCGCTGACCAGCATGGCAGCGACCAAGGCCGCGGAGCGTGAGGCCAAGGTTAGCCAAGGCGTCCCTCCTCCTCCTCCGCTCCCTCCTGCCGCCGCTGCTGTCTCTTCTCTCATGTCGGGCCACGTGCTGGCCGAATGTAAGCAGCGTTGCACGAGATGTTATCCGTAAGGGCTTCGCCCCCTGCCGCCGGCCCCCTCTCTCGGAGAATGGACCATGGAAGAGCTAAGTCATGAGGCCTTGGCGCTGTCGTGAAGCAGTATCGAAACTTCATGCGAAGCCGATTCGCAATCAGCAAAACCAACTGATCACAAGAGGGGTTACCACACCTGGCGATTGGTAAGACGTGTATGGTTTACGGGCTTGGTTACCACACCTTGCGATTAAAGGGCCGAGGGAGTTCTCGCAGTTTGGGTTACCACGCCTTGCGATGGATGTGCGTGAAGGGTGGCACCGAATTTCAGAAATGTGCCAAATCCCCTGTGTTTTTGAACCCTGACCCCGCGGATCTGCGTAAGGGGTGGCGCCGAATTTC